ACGTTCCAAATAGTGCACAATCAACCCGAAAACACTAAGGTAAAAACTAGAATCAGCTACAATGCGAGGAAAAGAATCAAAAATTTTGAGAACGTCATCTCTCATGTTGACGGAAACGAGGATTCAGTGATCATCATCTTTGTGGACAGGAACGAAGATTATACCGTAACGAAACAAATCTACGTTTTTAGCCCACCTCTGCACCCCACCGTGTCCTTGAAGTCGCAGTTTACTGAAGAAGAACGAATTAAAGCTGAAGACTTGAAGGCCTGAAGAGATGTCATGTGACCCACATGCGGTCGACCCTAACAACGCCATATAGAAATTGACCACCTCATGATTCACCCTGCCGTTGACATGCAAGAGGGTGAGGAGATCTTTTGCTGCAATCCAAAATTGACCATCGCCCAGTATAGAGAGAATAGTGTTAGACGACACCGAGCCTCGTACAATGTCGTCAAAAACCCGCAAGCTCAGAGGCGCAATCGTCGCAACGAAATTTTTCCCGCGTGCTGCAGTTGTTGCCCGCACTGCACAACATCGAGCAAAGGACACGTGGGGTAGTGAGAAACGGAGTTCTAGACATTGTCCCCCAGTGCATGACGCGTTGCTAAGTACTTCTCGTACATGGCCTGACCCCTACTCACAGATTCTGGATATGTCCCTTTCTCTGGGGCAAGAAGGGAAAGACATTCCTCAATGGCAACGGTGTACTCCTTCTTCCCGATCTCGATATCAACCCCTGATGCCTTTAACATATCCTTGTGTTTTTTACTCAACCCGGGGACTTTCTGCAATATGTGCTCTTGATATTTGGAGAACCTCCGTGTTCGAGACGACAACATCCCTGTACAACAGAAGAAAGACAAAACGAAAAATGAGAACCATACATTCGTACAGACGCAACAATCAAGCAGGACCTCTCCGACCACAGGACCCTGATCTCGCGTGGTCATGTGCACCCAGGTGTGGTTGTGCGACTGGAAAACAAAATGACTGCAACATCCGAGCTTATCACCCCCGCACTTCGCAAAGGAAAACCACCACAACTCACAGAAGCCGAAGGCCAGCAATCCGCGAAGTTCGGACTGCGGCGGACTTTTCAACACACCAGCCCCACTGAGACTGACCACATCACGCATCGACAAAGGAAGCTCGGATCCCGGCGGACTAAAACCGGCACTATTCCCGAGAAGGAAAAACTGTCAGTCCATGTACTTGGCCACTTTCTTAGCACCTTGACCTACAGTCAAGCAGGACCTCTCCGACCACAGGACCCTGATCTTGCGTGGTCATGTGCACCCAGGTGCGGTTGTGCGACTGGAAAACAAAACGACTGCAACATTCGAGCTTATCACCCCCCGCACTTCGCAAAGGAAAACCACCACAACTCACAGAAGCCAGAGGCCATCAATCCCCGAAGTTCGGACTGCGGCGGACTTTTCAACACACCAGCCCCACTGAGACTGACCACATCACGCATCGACAAAGGAAGTTCGGATCCCGACGGACTAAAACCGACACTATTCCCGAGAAGGGAAAACTGTCAGTCCATGTACTTGGCCACTTTCTTAGCACCTTGGCCACTTTTTCAGTCGGGGCAGATCCTTCCTTGGATGGAGTGTAAGGTTTTGGACGATGTTTTCGCCGCCCTCGACTAGCAACCCGGCCGGGTCACAGATAGGCCGACGAGCTGGAGTAGGAAGGGCTGCTGGCTGTAGCAACTTCCCGTATGCACAGACAGTGTGGACAGTCGTCGTGTGTATAGCGCGGACTGTAATCCGGCGACATCTCGATGCGCAGGCGTTCTTCACGGCTTACCAGTCTGTTTCTCTCTCCGCTCCTTCGATGGTGAATTTGGCGCAGGCAAAGCGAGCACGTCGAGAGCCTGACCGCCAAACCTCGATTTTTTTGGGGACGTCACATGCTGTCCTCCACCGCACTTGCCTTCCCCTTCGGCGACAAGGGTGGCCTGCGGCACCAGAGACTTCGGCGGCGACGAAGCGAGGGCAGCTGCCACGGAAGATGCGACGTTGGCAGTTGAGGACGGACGGGCAGACACGTTGTGGTCGCCGAGGATACCGTCGATAACTTCGTCGATGCTTATACGTCGACTTTTTTCAGACGGGTTGATATCGACGGAAGCCTCGTCGAACCGGTGCTGCAAGTCGACAACAGACGTCAGTGGCCGGACCGCATAATCTTCAGGCTCTGCGAAAAGGTTGCTGACCACTTGTGTCTCCATCTCTATTGTCGTGGCATCGTCGTCGACATCATCCTCGTGACGCTCTCCGTACAGTTGTCCGAACTCGTCAGACGACTCTCCAGATCCGGCATCGTCCTCACTGTGTTCCACTTCGTCTTCTCCAGACCCGGCACCCTCCCTTCCTTCAAACAAATCAATTAGCTTCGTTTCTCCCGCTTCCTCCCCTTCCACCTCTTCTTCCCCTTCTTCCTCCCCTTCTTGATTCTACTTTCATATCTGACTTAGTATAAATCAGGAAAGTCTCCCTTTCTAAAGGGAGTGCTGCCCAAATTTCTACTAATTCAGAGAGTTAGACAGAATTTGACTTTCTAGAATTAGAGATTAATTATGCTTTCATATCTGACTTAGTATA